AGCAATCACCTGATAGATACGTGCGCATATCGTTCAAAAGTCGAATATAGAATAAATGCATTTGATTGGTAAACCAAATTCAGACTTTACGTTTCAATTCCCAAATGGTAATGCATGGAATTTACAGGAAAGCTCAACTAAATAACAGCGCTAATAAACGATCGGCGCTCCAGTCAATCTACTCCACAGCCAATCACCTTGCTCGGGCCCCGGGGCTTCAGCCCCGCCTAGCCCTATGGTTAAAACGGCCCTGCGCGTTACAAAAGTAATGCATTACAGTAACAGATTACTTTTTGCTGTAACGCAGTAGTGTAAGGCATTACTAATCAATTTTCAGTAATATTTTACCTGGTACATGTTCAGTAACGCTTGTGTTACAACACACTTTTAGCCCCAAAATGTAATTGTTCAAAGAAAAAAAAAATAGCAAGACCGTGAGACATTTACGAATCAAAAATGCCGCAAATAAGTTCTATTTCCTGTTCGTGGTCAGTCAATAGCAGCTCAAGGTCCGAGGCTATTAGCCCCGCCCGGCTCGCTGTAAGCCCCGGCTCGCATTGGCCAGTGGAAAAGCGGCTAATGGGTGAAGATGGCAGAAGACTGTACATTCGCGAGATGGGCGTATGCACATCTTGTCATGGCATTAGAGTCTACAAATAGTCCTGTTGTGTCTAATATGAATAGACCCAAGCTATTCACAGATATTGCCAGATAATCACTTTACCTCTACCATACTTTTAACAGACTTGGATCGTTTGTGATTCTGGCTGTCATCCTGTCTTGCACTGTTTTGAGCCTTCACTTTGCCAATTATAAGCTATATTGTTAGTAGCCTGGATAGCCCACAGTCATTATGATACACCATATCACCCTCTACTGAATGTAAAATGCTTTGCAGTAGGCTACATTTTGTCATTTTAGAATGTTAAGTTCTAATTCTGTAGTTATTTTGGTGAAAGTAACTAAAAAGTAATACAAGAGTCATGTAATGTATTACAATTCTGAGACAGTAATATTGTAAGGTAAGGGATTACTTTTAAATAACAGTAACAAGTAATCTATAATGTATTACAGTTTGGAAGTAACTTGCACAACACTGGTTAAAACAGGCAAGGTCAAGATCCAGCAAACAATGTAATCTATGGCAGAGGCAAAAGAGTAATCCAAAGGAACAGGCAATGGTCAAAATCCAAGTGAGCAGTCCAAAGTACAAAATAAACAAGACAAAGGCAAACACTTGGTAGAGTCCGCAACAGCAAAACAATACTTCGCAATGTGAATGTGAATGAGTGACTTAAATAGAGTGACTTTAACTTAAATAGTCCAATTGAAAACAGCTGTAGGTGTAATCAGTTCCTGGCATGGGGTGTTATGGGAGATGTGGTCCGTGAAACAATGGTACAGTTTAAGTATGGAGTGCCCTCTAGAGGATCTCATGGACACTCCAGCTGGAGATCCTGACATGTTTTTCATAAACATTTTTTGTTATAATGGTTTAAATTCTCTTCACAGACAGATAGCAGTCAATCAT